TACATATATTTTTTGTAGTTCATAAATAACGGGGCCTCTTTAAGAAACTCGTTGATAATCTAAACATGTCGAACTATTTGTTAAATAATATGCAACCGTTAAAAAATTATCATCCATATAAGATGTTAATAATATCAACCAACAAATGTAAAATGTCAAAAATACTAACTCAATGCCAATACATCCGTATAAGATGTTAATAATATTACCAGGACAACAATACAGAACTAAATTTTCTGTAACCCCTTGCGTCCTAGTGGCTTCTAGCCTTGCTTGGGGTGAAAAGCTAAATATATATATATATATATGTGTGTGTGTGTGTCCGTGAGTGTGTGCGTGTGTATTGTGTGTATGTGTGTGTGTGTGTCGGTGCGTATCTACCCTAAGAAAGCGCCAGTGATATTCTGCCTCTACTTCGCATTGGGTCAATTCTATCCAAGTTACTCATACACCCATAGAATTCTTCTGCCCTATGTTTTCGACAATGTCTTTCTGTTTAACTATTTTTTATTGTTTAAACTGTCTCATGTTGCCATATTTATTTATTTTATTTCTTTGTTACGGTGGAGTCTATCAACTCTCCCCCCCCTTCAAAAAAAAGTCGTTACTAGGACTTATACTATGTTAAAACTTTAAAAGATTAAAATTCTATAGCATATTATCTGTGCATAACTCTCCCTCCCTCCGATCCATAATGCTTCTCTTTTGTAAGCCTGAATTGTTTTTTTTTTCTTCTCTTGAATAGATAACATGCCCATTGCATGTCCCAGCCCTTGTAATCATCTATTATATTAATTCATATTGGGCGGGGGAGGGGGGTAAGGGATACAAATGTATCCCTGATCAACCCGCATTACTCCACTTTTCACAATGGGTATTTTAGTCTTCAAGTATATGAGCGAGCTTGTCTTGATACCTTTAGGTTTCGGACCGGTACGACGTTTCTGGCCCAAGAAGGAGTTCTATTGCCTTGAATTCTGGGCAGATGCGACATGTTCACTCGGAGAATCATGCTGGGGTTAGACGCTTTTTGGTTTTGGGCGCTAACCTCCTGATTGTCAGGGATCTGAACCTTCGAGCAACTCCAAAGGAGGCTATCCTATCAGCATATGTATAATATTGGGGCAATGGTACTACTGTTTTCTGAATGGTTTCTGGACCGTGCAGTAATCTCCGATCGGGCCTCTCGATGTCACGATGAAGGGTACTGCTACGCCTGTATCTCAGGACGATTCTATCCAAGTTACTCATACATGCAAATCCTGTGGGTGAGTCTGTCTTTCTAGTCTTCCACCAACCAATTTACATTTGAATTCAACCAAAATACAAGTGAATATTAATTTATTGATTTGGTAATGGAAGTTTTTCTAGCGCAGTTTATTTGGAGCATGGAGTCTGTCTATTTTCCAGAAAAAATTGGATATTGGGATTTATGCACAATAAAAACTTTATGTCTGTTTCCCGCCCATTGTCTATCTCCCACCCTCCGATTCATGATGATTCTCTTCTGTAAAGATACTTTCTGTCCTCTCTTGAATAGATAACTTGCTCAGTGCACGTCCTCGCGCTTGTTACCATCTACTCAAGTGTAGATAAGGGACGCACACGCATCCCACACTTCTGACATTGGGTCTTTTATCCTTCAAGCTTGATCTCATTGCCTTTATAATCTCGGATCGGTACGACGTATCTGACCCAAGGAGCATGGGTCGCCTTGAATTCTGGGCAGATGGCGACATGTCCACTCGGAACATCACGCATGCATATTCTTTCCTTGGTTGATTGTCCCTTCATTAAGGGTGCTGGGGTTAGACGTTTTCTGGGTTTGGGCGTTGACCTTCTGATAGTTAGGGATCTGAACCTTCGAGTAACTCCGGACGAAGCTATCCTATCAGCAGGTTTATAATATCAGGGCGATGGTACTGCCATTTTGTGGATGGTTTCTCGACCGTACAGTAGTATCTGATGGTGCCTCTCGATGTCACGATGAAGGGTACTGCTACGCCTGTATCTCTGGACGATTCTCTTCAAGTTACTCATACATGAAAAACCTTTGGTTGTGTCTGTCTTTCTGCCTACTAGTCTTCTACCAACCAATGCACACATGAATCCAACCAAAATACAAAGGAACAAAACTATCAAACCCAACCTAAAAACAAAAAAAAGTAGACCCCTTCTATACCAGTGTGAGGGTCTACATTTCGACAATCCAGAAGTGGGTTACGATCTCCAATCTAAACTAGACCACCTGTTACTTTCTGAAACCGGTATAAATGCTTCATGCACACTAGTGTCGGACTACCCACGTCTTATAGCTAAACATGACCACCTAAATCGCTAAGGCCACGAACTCGAAGCCTACATTAAGGACGATTTTCCCTGTGCCAGGTACGAGAAAACGAGGAACCCGATCTTCCGTATATGTGCTTCCGCGTGGCACTCATCCATAGTACCACATTCGTCTTCGCTCTCTACTGTCCTCAGGACGAAGGGATGGTAATCTTCGATCGAATATCTGAGAAGATTGATAATATCCTCACTCAATTCCCTTCGGTAAGCTTTCGCATATGCGGGGACTTCAATCTCCACCATAAAGAATGGCTAGTCTACTCTAGCAAAACCGATGTTGAAATCAGATATTTCAGAGACCTCTCTATTGCTTATGAGCTAACCCAGATCACCGGATGATCTACCCAGGTCCCGGACACGATTGGACATAAGGCGAACCTTATCGACCTCTTCCTAACTTCCTGCCTAGGCACGTCAGTCCATTCTCTAATCAGTGTCTAGATTGATACTAGACGCCAGCATTCCCTGACGTACCTTTTCATAGAACGATTTTTTGTTATGCGAATGCAGACTGGGACATCTTTCGATCCTGCATGAAGGAAACCCAAACTTCCTCAGTATGCATCCTCAAAAAATTCTGCCCTTGGGTCCTTGCTAGAATTGAGAGCTTTATACCTAAAAGATTTCCAGCAAAAAAAAAAAAACAGTCAACCCTGGTTCACCGCTTAATGAGCTGTAGCAATAACTCACCGAAACTATTACTTCAATATCTATCGCAAGGAGCGAAGGAGTTTAGGCACTCACTGCATTCAGAAATGCCTACTGGAAAAAAAAAGTTCTAGAAAACGCCAAGTTCAGTTACGCATGTGCAGTCCAGATTAAGGTTGAAAAGAAACAAATTCGATCCCGTGAATACTGGAAGATCACCAACCAAATCATGAAAAGAGGTAAAACGTCTGTGCCCACATGTATAAATGTCTCGAGGTAATTTCTTCACCGGCAGATAAAGCGAAAACTCTCCGCCTCCATATTTCCTTCTAACCCAAGGTTGGATGACAAAGACCATCCCCTCCCCAAGTTTCCACGTCTCACTGAGCACAATCTCAGTAATATTAGCATCACAGCACGTGAAGTCTATACACTTAAAGGATTTTACCCTAAGAATGTCACTGGTCCAGACAAAATTCCTGTGGTTAAGAACATCAAGCCGGAATTATTCTAGCAAAGTTATTCAACCGCTATTTGAAGGAGAAATTCCGGAACCCGCGGAAACATTCAAGCGCATGCCCAGTTTTCAAGAACGCGGGGATGCGATCTACCCTCTCCCGGTACAGACCCATCAGTTCCCACAGTATCATCAGCAAGCTTTTAAGAAGGCCGTCGAGCACTTAGGAAAGAACAACTTTTTCAGTGACAAGAGGTATGGGTTTCGGTCGGCCCCATCCATTGCCAACGTCCTAACTACTATCACTCACAGCATCTGTGAGGTTCTTGACAACAAACACACCATAACACTACAAAAAAATCTATATCCCTAAGAAAAAAGAAAATATAAAGAATCTAATGGCGGTAAATGAATAAACTAAAAAGTAGTAATCTGCGCATGCGTACAAAACAGACATTGAAGCACGTCCATCTATACACTTCACACAAATGCCTGTAAAGATCGGAGATGATATTCTTATCTTAGTAAAAAGAAAAAGAAAACATAGACGAAATACCTGAAATACAAAAACTCCGTCCTTAAATTCAGATACGAACTTAAAAATAAGAAATAAAATCCCTTTTCTTGAGGAATTGATGGACACTAATAATAATACGTTTACTGCTCCCCCATATATAAAAAAATAACTAGCAATAACACATGCACTCTAAACTATAAAAGTGAATGTCCTAACTATTAAAAAGTAGCTATTCTACGAAATTTAATAAACCGTACAAAAGCAGATTCTTCAAAGAAAAAGATTTTGTATACTGAATTAAAAAAAAAAAAAAAATGAAAACAGATTCTCAATAATAATGACCTTCCTAATTACATTATTGATGAAAAATTAAACGAGCTATTAGAACATTATTTACATTATTCGGACTATTACTATCATCTTTGTCGCCATATTTATCACAACCTTTTGGCCGTTGTACGATTCGGCCTTCTACAGGTGGTTGGAATGTCGAACTGAACCTTTTATTTCGCTCGCTGGGGGTAGACTGTTCTTGTTCCAGGTGCCATGTCTTATGGATGTCAGTTGTCAGTTATCTCCTGCTTAATTCCCCTCTCCAAGTTCTCCACCGCCCTAACCAGGTATTGAACTCACACTCATTGGGTCCTCAAGGACACATGGCACAGTGGATAAAGGCGTTGGTTAGATCAAGTGACAGGACAAAATGGAAATGGGCTCATTTTTGCCGTCATGGGTGATTGAACTTGTCATCTTTTAGATTCCTGGCAAGTCGCAAACTGATGAACGTAGACAGGTCACTCCCCCGCAAAGATGTCATTTTTTAATGCTATTTTTAAAAATTCTTTTGGCTTCTGTTTCTTTAGGTTTGATCGTTGTTGTTTGATTTTTTTTGGTTTTCTTTTCAGCATTTTCTTCCCATATTTATTTTAAAATCCTTTTTGTTATTTATTTCTTTCATTTTTATATATATTTTTTTTTTCGTTTCTCTTTTTCGTTTCTTTTAACAGTGGCGTAGCTGACCAAAAAAGCTCAAGGAACAGGAAGAAAGAAAGAAAGAAAGGAAGGAAGAAAGAAAGAAAGAAAGAAAAGCAACTGAATAAAAACTAAATTAAAGCAGAATAGCCTCAAACCAGCAAAAAAAGAAAGAAAAAAAAAACTTATTCCTCGATTGTTTTATGGCGTAAGTTATGCAAAGGTTGCTGTCTTTTCTGATTATTTCTTATTTTGATTCGAGAAAATAATGAGATCTGGCTGACGTGAGAAGGAAAGATTATTTCCTGCAAATGTTAGCTGGCTCGCCGCCAACATGATGCTCGTTCTAATCAACATCAGCAACGTGACCGACCAACCGAAACGAGCAGAATAGTGATCAAAACCTGGAAGTAAGTAAGCAAACAACTTTAATGACAACAGCAATTATAAAACTGAAAAAAAATTGCATTTATTTTGAAAAAAAAACCCCAAAAAACAAACAATATTTGCATAAAAAAAACGAATCAATAAATAAAAAAAACAAAGACCAGTAAGAACCAGCATCAACGATCTTCCTGTGCACAAACAGCAAACAAAATAGAAAAAAAGAAAAAAAAAAGTCACCCAATTGCAACGAAGTAAAAAAAAAACAATCCAGAAAAAAACAAAAAAAAAACATAATTTAAAAATATTTTAAATTAAATAAAAAAATTGAAAAAAGAGAATATGCAATCTGAGTTGTTAATTCAACACCAAAAAATTAAAATAAAGAAAGAAAAAAGAAAATATAAAGAATCTAATGGCGGTAAATGAATAAACTAAAACGTAGTAATCTGCGCATGCGTACAAAACACACATTGAAGCACGTCCATCTACACACTTCACACAAATGCCTGTAAATAAATACATAATGGGATATATACATCACCGGATCCGGAATTATTGAATTTCATGCTTTATGGAATTTTCAGCTTTAAGCAAATTAAAAGAAAACATAGATAAAAAATAAAAACAAATAAAATAAAACAACTTAGTCGTTCCGTTGCATATATATATATATATATATATATATATATATATATATATATATATATATATATATATATATATATATATGTGTGTATATGTATAACATATATATATATATGCGAAAAAATGGTTCCAGAAGATCATAGTGGATAATCCTTACCTTGGAGAAGTTGTCTTTCAACCAAGATTACTTATGAAATTTCACAACTGTTTGTGAAGTTCCACTATTGTTTATGTAATTCAACGATTGTTTGCATTTTTCCCCGGAACGAGAAAAGACGAAATTTAAAAAAAAAGTACAAAAAAACATAAAATCAAAATCTTTTTTTTTTGTTTTTATTTTTTAAGGGATAACCAAATACGAAATTCAAACTAAAAAGGAATCTTCCATCCTCACATTAAAGAGAGAGAAATAACCGACGTGTTATCATACTTTAATGATTATAAAAGAACTCACAAGTTGTATCAAGAAAAGAAATCACGTGATATTGGATGCGATGTTGGAGCGAGCTTAACCAAAATACATTAAGGGTCATTATTATTATTATTATTATTATTATTATTATTAATATTTGATCTCTTCTTTCAGACGTTTCGACCATTGTTGTTTCGCCTTTGGTTTCAATTTCTTTTTCGTCAGACAATTTTTGTTTTCCGTTTTTTTTTTTTTTCTGTTCGTCATTTAGGCATTTGAAAGCCTATTCGAATTCATATTGCTATTAATATTTTTAGTAAATATCTATAAATAAATGTGGGCTGGGACAAAACATGGATAATATAGCAAAAAGAAATAAATAAATATATATATATTTGAATCCAGTTATTAATACCATTAA